CTGAGATGGCATGGTCACACTGAAAACAGAGGCCAGAGAACCAATACCAGAGGTGACAGTGGCAGGAGCGTGCTGGGCAGAAGGGCGGCGACGCTGATGGGACAACGAGATCCAAGCAGAGGGGTTGAGAAGGGGGGGGGGGTCCAGCGGCAAGCAGGAGAGGTGGTGCAAGGGGAGGAAGGTGCAGCGGAGGAGGTGGAGGGTGAAGAAGGCAAGAGCAGGAGAGGAGGTACGGTTGAAAGAGGGTGAGGGCGGAAGCGCAGAGGAAGAGAGGTAAAAGCGAGAATAGGCGCCATTAGGGGGGGGGGATAGCAATGGAGCAGAGGTGGGGAGAGAAAAGAGGCAGAGAAATAGGGGCGAGGTAGTCTGCTGCTGAGCCGTTGAGGGGAGAAATAAGAGGAGGAGGAATAGGGGTGAGGTAGTCAGCTGCTGAGCCGTTGAGAAGAGAAACAAGAGGAGGAGGGATAGCGGCGAGGTAGTCAGCTGCTGAGTCGTTGAGGGGAGAAACAAGAGGAGGAGGGATAGAGGCGAAGTATTCTGCTGCTGCGCCGCTGAGGGGAGAAATAAGAGGAGGAGGGATAGCGGCGAGGTAGTCAGCTGCTGCGCCGCTGAGGGGAGAAACAAGAGGAGGAGGGAGAACGGCGAAGTAGTCTGCTGCTGCGCCGCTGAGGGGAGAAATAAGAGGAGGAGGGATAGTGTTGGATTAGTCTGCTGCTGCGCCGCTAAGGGGAGAAACAAGAGGAGGAGGGAGAACGGCGAAGTAATCTGCTGCTGCGCCGCTGAGGGGAGAAATAAGAGAAGGAGGAAAGGTGTGGAAGACGATTAGCAACGAAACACAGACAGCTATCAGCTGCAGCAGATAGGGAGAAAAGAGAGGCGGAGGAAGAGGTGAGAAGGTGGGGGAAATAGAGGGAGAGAGAAGAGGAGGAGGAGGGTGAAGGACGGGAGTGTGAGGAGGAAGTAGGGTCACGATCACCAAGTGGCAACCAGTAACACGCAGACAGGCGGCAGAGGCGGAGGGGAAGGAGGTGGAGGAAGGGAGGAGAGGCACGAAGGGGAGGAAGGAATGAAGAGAGGAGGAGGAGGGTGAAGAGGCGGATGGGGTGAGGGGAGAAGGAGGAGGTGGTGCAAAAGCGGCAGAAGAAGGCGCACCACGAGGGAAGGGGAAGGCGCCAGCAGGGTGGTGAAGCAGGACGCCCACGAGAAGGTAAGGGAGGGCGGCCGCGAGGAGGGGAGGCTGGCCGGGGAGAGGGAGGGCGGTGGGCAAGACGCGCGCGCGCGTCGACGGCGGGGAGGCCGCGCGCGTCGACGGCGGGGAGGCCGCGCGCGTCGACAGCGGGAAGGCCGTGCCCGTCGACGGCGGGCAGGGCGCGCGACGCGGCGGTGGGTAGGGCGTGCGACGAGGCGGTGCAGGGGGAGGGCTGCGCGACGACGGGACAGGGCGCGCGACTAGGCAGGGAGGCGACGGATAGAAGATTCCGTGATTCAAAACAAAAGAGGAAATTTGTGGGTCCAAATAGTAGGGAAAATGAAATTCGACTATGTAAACAGTGGCGCGTCGGATGCCTAAGGCCTAGACCATACTAAGAGATATAGATTGGGACAAAACGCCAAGGATTTGGCTCTAGATACCATGTTAAAACTGAGAATATGGTAGCCATGGCTAGGGAGAGAGAAGGTAGCGAGAGAATTGTTACTAGGAAACCCTAATTGAACTTAAGGTGTGTTCAGTTTGTGCTAGAAACTAAGAAATGAACCTAAACTGAACCAAAAGTGGAACTCGCTCTAAACATGGCGAAATAATAAAAGAACACCATGATAAATGCCAGAGCGAGCTCTAGCCTACTCCAACAATACCCTCATTGCACACCCAGTTCCCTAGCAGCAGCGGCAGCAGCAGCCGCAGCAGCAGCAGCAGCAGTGCCACTGCTGCCGCCACTGCAGCTACCACTGCTGCTGCCACTGCTGCTGCTACCACTACTGCTGCTGCCACTGCTGCTGCTGCCACTGCTGCCGCCACTGCTGCTGCTGGCACTGCTGCTGCTGCTGGCACTACTACTGCCACTGCTGCTATGCCAACCATGCTCGCCTCCCTCACTGCTCTCTTGCACGCCCTTGTCCCCAGTTTCCCCGCCTCACCTCCTCTTCCCCTCCTGCTCCACCACACCCCTCCTCTCCCCTCCCCTTCTCCTTCCCCATCTGCCCTGCTTCTAACCGTTCCATTATAAGCTATGCCATGCAGGCAATTCCTGTGCAGCCTTTTCTCACGCACACAGTGGCTTCTTGCCCAACCAGGCCTGCACTTGATTCTGCCCAACAGCAAGGCACGACCATTTCCGAACTCTCTGCAGCATGCAAGTTGAACCACCATTCCATGCCTCACTCCTGTGCATGCATGCCTCCCCTCCTCAGTTGTCCCTATCAACACACAATCACGTCCTCCCTCACCTCGAGCAACTCTTCATCATCACTCCCCCCCACCCTACCCGCCAATCCACCTGCGCACGTCATCGATCTTAAGGTGACCCCTTTCTGGCATATAGAGAGTTGTTAGCTTGGTCAGGGCAGTCAGCTGCTGCAGCCCATCATCCGTGACTGCCGTGCCATCCAGCCGAAGGTCCTCAAGCCCTGACAGTTTCCCCACATGCACCATGCCCGCATCCGACACACCCTTGCAGTTGGAAAGGCTTAGCACTTCAAGAGAAGAGAGACCCGTCAGCTGCTGCAGCCCATCGACCGTGACTGGCGCCTCATTTAGCCAAAGTGTATCAAGTCCTGTCAGCCTTCCCACCTCCACCATGCCAGCAGTTGTCACACCTTGGTTAAAGGAAAGGGCCAGCTCTTTAAGAGAGGAGAGAGCCGTTAGTTGCTGCAGCCCATCATCCATGACTGCCGTCTGATGTATCCAAAGTTTCTCAAGGGCTGTCAGCCTTCCCACCTCCACCATGCCAGCAGATGTCACACCTTGGTTAAAGGAAAGGGCCAGCTCTTTAAGAGAGGAGAGAGCCGTTAGTTGCTGCAGCCCATCATCCATGACTGCCGTCTGATTTATCCAAAGTTTCTCAAGGGCTGTCAGCCTTTCCACCTCCACCATGCCAGCAGATGTCACACCTTGGTTAAAGGAAAGGGCCAGCTCTTTAAGAGAGGAGAGAGCAGTTAGTTGCTGCAGCCCATCATCCATGACTGCCGTCTGATGTATCCAAAGTTTCTCAAGGGCTGTCAGCCTTCCCACCTCCACCATGCCAGCAGATGTCACACCTTGTTTATTTCCAAGGTACAGCACTTTGAGAGAGGAGAGATTCATCCGTAACTGCCGTCTCATCCAACTTCTTCAAGGCTTGTCAGCCTTCCCACATGCATGAGGCCAGCACTTGTCACACCCTCACATTTGGAGAGGTATAGCAGTCTGAGGGTGTATAGAGCTGTAAGTCGCTGCAGCCCAGCATATGTAATCGCGGTCCCATCCAGCCGAAGTCCTTCCAGTCCTATCAGCCTTCCCACGTCTTTCATACCAGCACTTGTCACACCATCGCATTTGACAAGGCTCGGCAATTTCAGAGTGGAAAGGCACGTGAGTTGCTGCCGACCAGCGTCTGAGACTGCTGATCCGTCCAGCACAAGTTCCTCAAGCCCTAGCAGCTTTCCCAACTCCACCATGCCAGTAGCTATCACCTTGGTCTCCCAGAGACAGAGATCCTTGAGACTGGTCAAGAACCCAATGCCTTCCAAGGAGACGTCTAAGACGTCTGTGCTGCTGAGGTTTCGAAACTCCAGCTGTGGCAGCCTGTAGAGGTGCTTGATGCCCTCTGCACTGAAGCCTGAGCTAGAAGCCAATTCAACGCTCGTCAAGTGGGTCATGGTGGACACATGGCCCAGCATTGCGTCTGAGAGGCCGCGGAGTTTCGTCAGGTCCAGATTGGCATTCTGTGATGCTGCCTTGATTGCCTGGGGGAAATGGGTGGAAAGGGAAAGGAAAACATGACAAGAACGAACAAGCAAGCAATGCACGCCCAGCGAAGCAAATCACTTAAAACTCACCTCCCATGCGGCCTTCCGATCGCCTTTACTCCGCCTAATTTCCACCTCAACATTCAACTTCAGACTTTGTGTCTTCCGCCCTTTTTTACAGGCTGCCGATTCCTCCATGGCACGTGGCCGATCCATCTCCTTCACCTCCCTCCTCTCCTCCTCCCGTGCAAACTCCTCTGTCCCTTCTTGCTTTCTCTTTTTACTCTTCCCATTCAGCCCCTTCACACCCTATGCCCTACCACGCTCAGCCAACTCCCCATTCACCACTCTCACCTCCCCCTTCACCACTCCCAACTCCCATCGTCTCATCCCCGTCCGTCCACCTCCCACCTCCTTCTCTGCCTCACCCTCGTCCTCCTCCTCACCCTCCTCCTCCTCATCATCCTCCTCTGCAAGATTGTGATGTGATGACCACGTTTTGGGACCAATGGGAGAAGGCACCCAGTGTGGTTGCTTGGTGATGTGCTTTTGACGGTCGTGGAGTTCATTCCACGTATTTCTTTTGAATGCTAGAAAAGAAGCACATACTGTTCAATGACCTTATGATAAGACCGGGCCAACTGTTAAGACCCCCCCACATTTTTGGGGTGGGATTCTTATAGTACCCCGGGGTCTTTTATCCGGGGTATTACGGTATATGTATTATGTCGTACACACCCATGGGTCCCTTATAACTAAAGCACCCCTTTAAGGAACATGATTAGATTTCGTACGACTTCAATGTAGTCCAACCCAACACTTTCCGAGCTTAAGACTGGTTGGTGTTCCCTAGCTATCTCTCATCTAGAAGTCAATCAGCCTTTTCCAAGTGAAAGCTTTTACGCATACTTAAATAACAGACAGCAGGAGCAAACGCGCATGTAGAGACTCCAACCCCCATCTCTCTCAACTGCACTACTACAACCAGTCTCCTTCCCACTCCAACAATCTCCAAGTGCTCCATATACCAGTGCTTCTCCCCACTTCCCCCCTCATTCTTGCTGTGCAGCGCGCCGCCACGCGCCCCCCCTGAGCAGGTCCCAGGCGCTGAACGATGATGCCTCGGGTGCGGGGGTGGGGGTGGTGGCACGGGGTGTGGTGACGGGGGAGCTGTAGTCGCCAGCGGCAGAGGCGGAGCGCACCGGCAGGTGGATGGAGCGGTCGGAGGAGGTGGCAAGGGCGGGCATGGAGGGTGTGGAGGGGAGAGGAGGAGTGCCGGTGTGAGGGGCGGCGGCGGTGTAGGGCAGGAGGAAGTGGAAGGCGGGGTCCTGCTGGAGCTCGGGCGGCGGGTCCAAGTCGTCGATGTGCATGGCGGGGATGGCGAGGGCTATGTCGTCCACCGTGAACGGGATGCTGGGGGACGGGACGAGCGGAGGGTGGGGGGTTGTGAGGGGAAGGAGGGATGATGAGAAGGAGAAATTAGGGGAGGACAAGATTGAGGGACGGAAGGGTCGAACATGCCGTCGCATAAAGAACCACGGCACATGAGCAATGTGAAACAAAAGGGTGCATGTACCCCCAGCATACAGAACTAGTCCTCCACGAGCTCATGCGTGCAAGCACATTGCATGGCCACCCACTCCCACCGTCACCCACCCACAGCCACCCCTTACCCACCCACGCGCACCCCTCACCTCTCGTCGTCGCGGAGCAGCATGGGGCAGTCGTCCACCATGAGCGCCCACATGCGCTCGGTGACGGAGGGGTCGACGCCCTTGGTGCCGTACGCGTCGTCCTCGTACCAGATGCACATGTGCACCAGCTGGTTCAGCGTCAGGTCCGGACACAGCTCCTCTATCTCCTCCAGCGACCGCCGCGGCTTGTGGTCCAGCGTCTGACCCCAGCAAGGAGGTGGGTGGGGGGAGAGGGGGGAGGGGGGAGGGTGTGACGGCAGGGGGGGTGGTAGAGTGTGGGAGTTAGTGGAGCATGGGACGGAATAGTGACTGAGCTTGCAGAGTGGGGCATGGATTGGGCGACTGAATAAGGGACAATGGATGTAGCGATGAGGGGAAGAGGAAGGTCAAGCACGCACGCGGTAACGGGAGGGTGGTGCCAGAGGTGGTGTGCGGGGGGGTGGCTGGTACCAGCACTGATTCACAGCATAGGGAAGCATGGGGGGCTCACGAGGAAGTAGATGGCTCACGAGGAAGTAGATGGCTCACGAGGAAGTAGATGGCTCACGAGGAAGTAGATGGCTTGGCGGATGTGTCTGAGCTCGCGCTTGAGGGGCTCCTTGGTGGCGCCCATGGCGTCCCTGAGCTGCACCTCCACGTCGTGCACCCACTGCTCCAGCCGCCCCACCCCCTCCTCCATCAGCTCCCCGTTGCTGTACGTGCACGGACACCACTGCGCGCGCACCATCAGCCTGTTGGGGGGCGAGGGGGGGGCGAAGAGGGAAGTGGGGGAGGGGAGGGAGTGGGAATGGATGGGGCCTTGCAACGTTCAAACGATGGGTCACACAAGCGACAGCTCCTCCCCCGTTGCTGTACGAATGTGAGCACCACTGCGCACACACCTTTCCACTGTTTGGAGGGGGTGGCGAGCAAGATCAGACTGCATTAGGTGCGCATCCATAGGTGCTGGTGGCCCTGCTGGCGCTGGTGCTGCTCGTGCTGCTGGTGCTGCTGGTGCTGCTAGTGCTGCTAGTGCTGCTAGTGCTGCTGGTGCTGCTAGTGCTGCTAGTGCTGCTGGTGCTGCTGGTGCTGCTGGTGCTGCTTGTGCTGCTGGTGCTGCTAGTGCTGCTGGTGCTGCTAGTGCTGCTAGTGCTGCTGGTGCTGCTGGTGCTGCTAGTGCTGCTGGTGCTGCTGGTGCTGCTAGTGCTGCTGGTGCTGCTGGTGCTGCTGGTGCTGCTGGTGCTGCTGGTGCTGCTAGTGCTGCTAGTGCTGCTTGTGCTGCTAGTGCTGCATGTGCTGCTAGTGCTGCTAGTGCTGCTAGTGCTGCATGTGCTGCATGTGCTGCATGTGCTGCATGTGCTGCTAGTGGTGCAGTGGGGCGCTCACCCGTTGACGATCTTGACGTTGACGAAGAAGAGCAGCTGCCTCAGCAGCGCATCCACCACCACCGCTGGCACGTGGTTCGCTGCCAGCGTGGCCGTCACCTGGGAGGGGGAAGAGAAGGGGGTGGGGCGGAGAAAGAGCGGGTGGGTGAGGGGGGCAGGGGGTTTGAAGAATTGAATGATGGATTAATCGGAGGATCGGGGTTATCGAAGGATGGGGGGAATGGGGGGCCGGGATTACATGCCATGGCATGCCATGCCATATTACTCATGGAAAAGCGATTCATGGAAGGAGCACATACAAATGCATGTGCCACAAGCATGCATGTCACCTGCTTGAGAGTGACCACCACGTTCGCCCAGTAGTTCACCTGCTTGAGAGTGACCACCACGTTCGCCCAGTAGTTCACCTGCTTGAGAGTGACCACCACGTTCGCCCAGTAGTTCACCTGCTTGAGAGTGACCACCACGTTCGCCCAGTAGTTCACCTGCTTGAGAGTGACCACCACGTTCGCCCAGTAGTTCACCTGCTTGAGAGTGACCACCACGTTCGCCCAGTAGTTCACCTGCTTGAGAGTGACCACCACGTTCGCCCAGTAGTTCACCTGCTTGAGAGTGACCACCACGTTCGCCCAGTAGTTCACCTGCTTGAGAGTGACCACCACGTTCGCCCAGTAGTTCACCTGCTTGAGAGTGACCACCACGTTCGCCCAGTAGTTCACCTGCTTGAGAGTGACCACCACGTTCGCCCAGTAGTTCACCACGTGCTTCCGCACCATCGCTGCCCCCGACCGCCCCCCTCCCCTCGCCCTCCCCCGCGCCAGCCGCCTCCCCCCTCCGCCGCCCGCCTTGCCGCCCTTCCCTGCCGCTGCGTCACCGGCTGCTTGGTCGCCCTCTGCTTCCGCTGCCGCGTCCTGAGATTCCTGCGAGGGAGAAGAGGGGGGAAAGAGTGGGGGGGCGGGGAGAGGCACATGTGGGACTGACGCTGGGAGTAATATTCTTGGCGGCAGTGACAAGTAGAGGCAGTGACGAGTAGAGGCAGTGACGAGTAGAGGCACGCGGAGGATGGGTGAGGTCAGCAGCAGGGAGGCACACCGGATCACTCAAGTGGGAGTGGGTGGAGACACGCCCATGAATGACAGCCATGCCGTACTGGTCGCACCCACTGCTGCTTCTGCCCCCACCCAACGTCCCCCAAACCAAGGTGCTCATGTGCCGCACCCACCGACCTGTGAGGGCAGTGCAAAGTGCTTGGCGAGCTCCGCCTTGGCGGCGTCCCTGATGGTGACGAAGAGGCGCTCCGTGCCCGTGGCCAGCTGCTGCTTGAACAGCATCACGTCCACGTGCTCCACCGCTGCCTTGGGCTGGCCGCATGGGAGGGGTGCAGGGAGGGAGGGAGAGGAGGTAGGGCTGTGAGCGGGAGGAAGTGAGGGAGACGTGGGAGGGAGGAAGAGGTTGAAAGGGAGGGAGACACGGAAGGGATTGAGAGGGTGGAAGAATGTGAGAGGTGGAGTGGGGGAAGAATGAGGAAGGGAATGAGGAAAAGGAACGGAAGTAAGAGGGTCAAAGCGAGTGAGAGCACGGAATCTAGTGAGTGAGGGGATGGGGGGAGCGAGGGGTTGATAGGGAGTAAGCTGATGGAAGGGAGTGAGGGGTTGAAAGACGGTGAGAGGGTGGAAGGGAGTAATATTGTGGAGGGGATTGACGGGATGGAACTTGGAAGAGAGTGAAGGGTTTGAAGGGGAGTGAAAAAGAGGGCGGAAGAGATTGAGGGAGCACTGACAGGAGCGGCGGGGCGGGAGGCCATGCCGAAGAAGGAGAAGGAGAAGCTCTCCTGGGCGGGCTGCTCCACTGGCGGCTGGTACACCACCTGGGGGCAAAACGGAGAGGAGGGCGGGCGAGCAGAGAGAGGGCGGTAGGGAGCGCGAGAGGGAAGGTACAGTTGGAAGTCGGAGGCATGGGCTATAGGTGCCTTTGACTACTGCCAAACCCACCTTGAGAAACCAAAGGGGGCCGAAGAGAGGGAGGAGGGGGGGGAAGCTTGCCAGCGAAGGTTTGCCAATGGGGGTCGTTAAAGTTGGACTTCAATTTCAAGGTGTACTACCTATTTTCTATATCCTACTTTACTGTGGTTGTGGTTTTGTATAACCTTACCCAATTGTGGCATTTATAAGGGAATGCAAGTTAGTTCCATCAGCTGAATGGGACTTGGAACTTGTAGACCTGCCTGAGGGCGAAGGGCTGATCAGCAGCAAGCTGGTCTTCAGGGTGAAAATTGGTGTTGATAGTGAGTGGGGCGGTTCAAGAACTGCTGTTGATAAAAAGTTTCAGCAGAAAGAAAATGTCGACTTTAGGGAGATTTTCGCTCCCGTTGATAAGGCAACAACATTGAGGACTCTATTTGCACATGTAGATATGAAAAGATGGCATGTGAAGCAGATGGATATCACCAATTCATTCCTCAACAAAATACTGTTGGAGGATATCTACATGGCGCAGCCCTAACGTCCTGGCGAGTGCGCATGTCATTCACGCTTGCATATTTTGCATGAGCAGATATGAGTATGCATGATTGTGTTGTATTTTATCATCTATGTGTTTTTTTGTAAGTCAAAATGCGTGAACACGCAGGAGAAACTTGAAACTTTCAAACGATACCAAGATCGCACATGTTACAAGACTCGGAGTTGTTGTACCATTTTTTTGATGTTATCCAATTGTGCGACCATTGGGACATGACTATAAATAGATCGTTGGTTGAGTGATTAAGAAAACATTTTCGACTTGTTAGAAGTTTTTAGCAATGTTTGCAGATGTTGCAACATTTAGGCAAAATCCAACTATATTGGACTTTACATGTGGCACCACAATGACCTCATGATGAGGGATGCATGTTTGTTGCTATGAAGGTTCCTCTAATCCTTCCCTAGCTCTTGTAGAACCTTTTTTTTCACAAGCTTATCTTTGAACCCCCAACTTGAACATTCCATTCTCTAATGTTTGTTCTTACTCCACCATTCTAGTGAATGCAGCAGCTATACGTTTTCAAATCGTTCTCACTCTGTATACCATATTTTTAAGTAATTCGAATTGGAGATGACAGTTAAGCCTAAGACGCGCAATCATGCCGAGCGGATTTGCGTGTAATTGAGAATGAATCCGTCGTAAGCTCTCAAAGTAACTGATCCTGGGCAACACAGACCTGCACGAGGTAGTAGAGTACGACGTGGTTGGTGAGCCAGTAGGCCTGTGCGGGCAGCAGGTGGTCGTTGGAGCCGCGCTGGAAGGCCTCCACAATGCGGTCGAACGTGTTGGTCCTCTCCGCCTCCAGCGCCCCCCACTGGAGCAGAGCGCGGTACACCATGCACGCCGCCACCGGCTGCCCCTCGGGGCCGAACGGGAAGCGGCTGCTCGCCACCTCCGACAGCAGCAGCTCCTATACGAGGGGCAGGCGGGAGGCGTGGGGGATGGAGGCGAGGGAAAAGGGTGAATGGGCGCGTTAGGGGAATATGGGGGAGATGGGGTACGTGGTGCTGGTCATCCAGGTGGGGTGAGGGGTGGGCACACATGGTAGTTGTGAAATGAGGATTGGATGGGAGGTCATGAAGTACAAGGTCTCGCACCTGCTGCTTATCGATGGGCAGCTCCTCCGTGTCGCTGGCTGCCTGCGACGCCAGCAGCCGCTGGCTGAGTGTGCGCACCTCCCTCGCCTTGCTGCCGTGGGGGCGGTGGGTTGGGTGGGAGGGCAGATGTGGGTTGGGCAGGTTGGCACAACACAGCAGAAACAGCAAGCAAAGTAACTACAAGCTCCCGAATCTCCCTGTTCTTCCCGTCCACTCAGCGCAGCACACAACAAAAACACAGCACAGCACACAGCACACAGCACATCTCAGCACAGCACATCTCAGCACAGCACACAACCACACAGCACAGCACACAACCACACAGCACAGCACACAACCACACAGCACAGCACACAACCACACAGCACAGCACACAACCACACAGCACAGCACACAACCACACAGCACAGCACACAACCACACAGCACAGCACACAACCACACAGCACAGCACACAACCACACAGCACAGCACACAACCACACAGCACAGCACACAACCACACAGCACAGCACACAACCACACAGCACAGCACACAACCACACAGCACAGCACACAACCACACAGCACAGCACACAACCACACAGCACAGCACACAACCACACAGCACAGCACACAACCACACAGCACAGCACACAACCACACAGCACAGCACACAACCACACAGCACAGCACACAACCACACAGCACAGCACACAACCACACAGCACAGCACACAACCACACAGCACAGCACACAACCACACAGCACAGCACACAACCACACAGCACAGCACACAACCACACAGCACAGCACACAACCACACAGCACAGCACACAACCACACAGCACAGCACACAACCACACAGCACAGCACACAACCACACAGCACAGCACACAACCACACAGCACAGCACACAACCACACAGCACAGCACACAACCACACAGCACAGCACACAACCACACAGCACAGCACACAACCACACAGCACAGCACACAACCACACAGCACAGCACACAACCACACAGCACAGCACACAACCACACAGCACAGCACACAACCACACAGCACAGCACACAACCACACAGCACAGCACACAACCACACAGCACAGCACACAATCCAGGTGACTCACAGGGTGAGCGCGAGCTGCAGCTCCTGGTTCTTCTCGGTGAGCTCTCGGATCTCCTCGTCCTTCCCCTCCACTGTCCTCTGCAACTCACCCACCCGCCCGCGCTCCTCCGCTGCCGCCGCCAGTGCCGTCTCTGCTGCCGCCACTGACTCCCGGTACAGCAGCTGCAGCTGCCGCCTCTCCTCCTTGAGCTGGTAGAGGAGAGGGGAAGGGAGGAGGGGAAGGAAGGGGGGTGTGCATTGGTGGAGGGAGGCGAGACGGGGTTGGGAATGAAGAAGAGGGGGGAAAGGCACGCGAGGGAGAGAGGGGAGGGGAATGTGCGGCTTTACACGCGTCTATTGTAAAAAAAAAAAAAAAAAAAAAAAAAAAATCCGACATACCCACTCTCACCTTGTACGCCCCCCTCACCCCCCTCACCTTCTGAGCCTCCTCCGCATCTCGCTGAGCACTCGCCAGCATGCGCACGGCCTCCTCGCGGGTGAGCGACTTGGCCGACACCAGCGGCCGCGGCACACCCGGCCCGCCACCACCCTCCCCTCCTGCTGCTCCACCCATCCGCGGGTTGGACGACTGCAGCCGTCGGATCCTCGCCAGCCGTGCATCCGCACCGTCGGGCGCGCCGCCAGAGGCCCCAGCAGCATCAGCGTTAGCAGCGGGTTTGAGGGCCTTCCCCATGGACTGCTGGCGCAGCATGCTCCTCCCCACAGGCAGCGTGCTGGCACGCGTGTACTCTGCCTCGCTCTCCTCTGGTTCCATGGACGGGAACCGCACTTGCCTCAACCCCCCGCTGCTGCCACCAAACTCCCCGGTGCCGCTGCCGCCGCTGCTGGTTCTGCTGACTGCAACCACCTTCTTCTCCTCGCCCTCCTCGCGTGACGCCGACTCTTGAATGCACGGCAGGTGCTGGGCGTCCGCCGCGCCGCCATGGCCCCTGTGGGCGCCGTCGTGCGTGCCCTCCCCGCCTGCCGCTGCTGCTGCTGCGCCTTCCGCTCTCTCCATCGCTGCCACCGCTGCCGCGGCTGCAGCCGCCATGCCGCCCCCGCTGCTGCCAGGGGGGGACGCTATGGAGGAGGGAGGCAGGGGAGGGACGGGTGAGGAGCGACTGGAGGAGGAGGAGAAGGACGGGGAGCTGGTGAGAGCAGCACTCGCAGCACCACCCGCAGCACCGCCAGCAGCAGTAGCAGCAGCGGTTTCCTCCCACGTGGGGTGATTGGCAGGTGTGTGCGGCGAGGGGTGTCTTCTCGACGCCATCCTGGCGAGGATCCTGGACCCCTCTGGCACCCCCAGATTGCCCCCTGGCGCCCCCGCCCTCCCCCCACTCTGCTGCGACGCCAAATGCTTGTCCACCACCACTCCCAACGCACCCCCTGCCAGCGCAGCCACGGCAGCTGCAGCAGCAGAGGGCGAGGAGGAGGACGAGGAGAAGCCTGACCCACCGAAGGAAGGAAGGCTGCTGAGCGCCCCTCCTCCTCCTCCTCCGCCTGCTGCTTTATGAGAGGCCACAGATGCCACGTGCAGCACTCGCTCGCGCCCCTCCGCCCGCTCCCTGTCCTGCTCCCTCAGCATCTCCTCCAACCGCTCCTCTGCCTGCTCCGCCCGCTGCTGCTCCTGCTCCAGCTGCCCCAGCAGCCGCGCCACCTCACGCGCCTTGCCCGCCAGCTCCTTCTTGGTCCGCTCCAGCTCAGCACGGACCTCTGCCAGCTGGTGCTCCGAGTTTGCACGGCTTTTTTCGGCCTTTTCCTGAGAAGGGGGAAGAGGGATTTTAATGAGGCGGGCGAGCAGTGCAGAGATGGATGTGGGAGCAAAGGGAGGAAGACGGTGAATATGGGTAGTGCGGGAGAGACAAGGAATTGGTGCGGCGAGGGGCAGGAAGGTAGGTGACAAGGAGTGAAAGGCAAGGCCTGGCTGAAACGAAGAGGTATTGTTGAGTGTGTATGGTGAATGCCCTGCCACACCACACCATGGACCATTTCATTCCACTGCTTACCATCATCACCCACATCACCAGCTCTACTAGAGTTGCTCGCGGGAATTCTCACAGGCACCACTCCTACTTGCATCCCTCTCACATTGCTCTCCCCTCACCTCCTCCCTCTCCTCTCACCCGCATCACTCTGAGTGTCATCATGCGGATGGTCTCAATCGCCACATCCGTCTTCTTGCGTGGCGGCGCCAACTCCGCCTGCCGACTCGCCTCCTGAAGGTGGTTGGAGTGGGAGGAGCAGGGAGGGCGGGAAAAGGGGGAATGGGGGGTGGGGGAAGGGGGAACTGGTTGGTATGGAAGCTGAGACGCGCCAGATCCACCTGCAGGCTCGCCTCCTAAACGTAAGCAGAGCAGGAGAAGCAGAAAGGGCCGGAAAAAGGAGGCGGGGAGGGGGATTGGTTGGTATGGAAGGTGAGAGGCGTAAGCAGCGCAGGAGTAGCAGCAAGGCTAGGAAAAGGAAGAGAAGAGGGGGATTGGTTAGTATGGATGGCGAGAAGAGGGGAACGTAATCACTGACCAGCTTGAGGTTGTGCAGTCTGAGGCGCGCCACTCTACCCGCCAGCATGTGCTTGAGCGCCCTCCACGGCCGCCTGTGAATGTACCCTCGCCACGTGCTCTGCAGGGGGGAGTCGTGAGGGGGAGGGACGGGGGGTGGCATACAAGGCACGGCAAGACGGAGGGGAGTATTGGCTTCCAGTGCATCAAGGGGTACTGCAGGGTTGAGGGTTCTGCAGGGTTGAGGGTTCTGCAGGGTTGAGGGTTCTGCAGGGTTGCCACAACCCGCTGCCTGCATCACCACAGCAGCATGCCACAACTGCCGCTGCTGCAAACCCTCCCTGCTGCTGCATGAAGCACAGCTGCCATGTGAGCGCACCTGGATGCGGGTAGCAGCCATGTGAGCGCACCTGGATGCGGGTAGCTGCCATGTGAGCGCACCTGGATGCGGGTAGCTGCCATGTGAGCGCACCTGGATGCGGGTAGCTGCCATGTGAGCGCACCTGGATGCGGGTAGCTGCCATGTGAGCGCACCTGGATGCGGGTAGCAGCCATGTGAGCGCACCTGGATGCGGGTAGCTGCCATGTGAGCGCACCTGGATGCGGGTAGCAGCCATGTGAGCGCACCTGGATGTGGGTAGCAGCCATGTGAGCGCACCTGGATGCGGGTAGCTGCCATGTGAGCGCACCTGGATGCGGGTAGCTGCCATGTGAGCGCACCTGGATGCGGGTAGCTGCCATGTGAGCGCACCTGGATGCGGGTAGCAGCCATGTGAGCGCACCTGGATGCGGGTAGCTGCCATGTGAGCGCACCTGGATGCGGGTAGCAGCCATGTGAGCGCATCTGGATGCGGGTAGCTGCCATGTGAGCGCACCTGGATGCGGGTAGCTGCCATGTGAGCGCACCTGGATGCGGGTAGCAGCCATGTGAGCGCACCTGGATGCGGGTAGCTGCCATGTGAGCGCACCTGGATGCGGGTAGCTGCCATGTGAGCGCACCTGGATGCGGGTAGCTGCCATGTGAGCGCACCTGGATGCGGGTAGCAGCCATGTGAGCGCACCTGGATGCGGGTAGCTGCCATGTGAGCGCACCTGGATGCGGGTAGCTGCCATGTGAGCGCACCTGGATGCGGGTAGCTGCCATGTGAGCGCACCTGGATGCGAGGTAGCTGCCATGTGAGCGCACCTGGATGCGGGTAGCTGCCATGTGAGCGCACCTGGATGCGGGTAGCTGCCATGTGAGCGCACCTGGATGCGGGTAGCAGCCATGTGAGCGCACCTGGATGCGGGTAGCTGCCATGTGAGCGCACCTGGATGCGGGTAGCTGCCATGTGAGCGCACCTGGATGCGGGTAGCTGCCATGTGAGCGCACCTGGATGCGGGTAGCTGCCATGTGAGCGCACCTGGATGCGGGTAGCTGCCATGTGAGCGCACCTGGATGCGGGTAGCAGCCATGTGAGCGCACCTGGATGCGGGTAGCTGCCATGTGAGCGCACCTGGATGCGGGTAGCTGCCATGTGAGCGCACCTGGATGCGGGTAGCAGCCATGCGAGCGCACCTGGATGCGGGTAGCTGCCATGTGAGCGCACCTGGATGCGGGTAGCTCCCATGTGAGCGCACCTGGATGCGGGTAGCTGCCATGTGAGCGCACCTGGATGCGGGTAGCTGCCATGTGAGCGCACCTGGATGCGGGTAGCTGCCATGTGAGCGCACCTGGATGCGGGTAGCAGCCATGTGAGCGCACCTGGATGCGGGTAGCTGCCATGTGAGCGCACCTGGATGCGGGTAGCTGCCATGTGAGCGCACCTGGATGCGGGTAGCAGCCATGTGAGCGCACCTGGATGCGGGTAGCTGCCATGTGAGCGCATCTGGATGCGGGTAGCTGCCATGTGAGCGCACCTGGATGCGGGTAGCTGCCATGTGAGCGCACCTGGATGCGGGTAGCAGCCATGTGAGCGCACCTGGATGCGGGTAGCAGCCATGTGAGCGCACCTGGATGCGGGTAGCAGCCATGTGAGCGCACCTGGATGCGGGTAGCTGCCATGTGAGCGCACCTGGATGCGGGTAGCAGCCATGTGAGCGCACCTGGATGCGGGTAGCTGCCATGTGAGCGCACCTGGATGCGGGTAGCAGCCATGTGAGCGCACCTGGATGCGGGTAGCTGCCATGTGAGCGCACCTGGATGCGGGTAGCTGCCATGTGAGCGCACCTGGATGCGGGTAGCTGCCATGTGAGCGCACCTGGATGCGGGTAGCAGCCATGTGAGCGCACCTGGATGCGGGTAGCTGCCATGTGAGCGCACCTGGATGCGGGTAGCTGCCATGTGAGCGCACCTGGATGCGGGTAGCAGCCATGTGAGCGCACCTGGATGCGGGTAGCTGCCATGTGAGCGCACCTGGATGCGGGTAGCTGCCATGTGAGCGCACCTGGATGCGGGTAGCTGCCATGTGAGCGCACCTGGATGCGGGTAGCAGCCATGTGAGCGCACCTGGATGCGGGTAGCTGCCATGTGAGCGCACCTGGATGCGGGTAGCAGCCATGTGAGCGCACCTGGATGCGGGTAGCAGCCATGTGAGCGCACCTGGATGCGGGTAGCAGCCATGTGAGCGCACCTGGATGCGGGTAGCTGCCATGTGAGCGCACCTGGATGCGGGTAGCTGCCATGTGAGCGCACCTGGATGCGGGTAGCAGCCATGTGAGCGCACCTGGATGCGGGTAGCTGCCATGTGAGCGCACCTGGATGCGGGTAGCTGCCATGTGAGCGCACCTGGATGCGGGTAGCTGCCATGTGAGCGCACCTGGATGCAGGTAGCAGCCATGTGAGCGCACCTGGATGCGGGTAGCAGCCATGTGAGCGCACCTGGATGCGGGTAGCTGCCATGTGAGCGCACCTGGATGCGGGTAGCTGCCATGTGAGCGCACCTGGATGCGGGTAGCAGCCATGTGAGCGCACCTGGATGCGGGTAGCTGCCATGTGAGCGCACCTGGATGCGGGTAGCAGCCATGTGAGCGCATCTGGATGCGGATAGCTGCCATGTGAGCGCACCTGGATGCGGGTAGCTGCCATGTGAGCGCACCTGGATGCGGGTAGCAGCCATGTGAGCGCACCTGGATGCGGGTAGCTGCCATGTGAGCGCACCTGGATGCGGGTAGCTGCCATGTGAGCGCACCTGGATGCGGGTAGCTGCCATGTGAGCGCACCTGGATGCGGGTAGCAGCCATGTGAGCGCACCTGGATGCGGGTAGCTGCCATGTGAGCGCACCTGGATGCGGGTAGCTGCCATGTGAGCGCACCTGGATGCGGGTAGCTGCCATGTGAGCGCACCTGGATGCGGGTAGCTGCCATGTGAGCGCACCTGGATGCGGGTAGCTGCCATGTGAGCGCACCTGGATGCGGGTAGCTGCCATGTGAGCGCACCTGGATGCGGGTAGCTGCCATGTGAGCGCACCTGGATGCGGGTAGCTGCCATGTGAGCGCACCTGGATGCGGGTAGCTGCCATGTGAGCGCACCTGGATGCGGGTAGCTGCCATGTGAGCGCACCTGGATGCGGGTAGCTGCCATGTGAGCGCACCTGGATGCGGGTAGCTGCCATGTGAGCGCACCTGGATGCGGGTAGCTGCCATGTGAGCGCACCTGGATGCGGGTAGCAGCCATGTGAGCGCACCTGGATGCGGGTAGCTGCCATGTGAGCGCACCTGGATGCGGGTAGCTGCCATGTGAGCGCACCTGGATGCGGGTAGCAGCCATGCGAGCGCACCTGGATGCGGGTAGCTGCCATGTGAGCGCACCTGGATGCGGGTAGCTGCCATGTGAGCGCACCTGGATGCGGGTAGCAGCCATGTGAGCGCACCTGGATGCGGGTAGCAGCCATGTGAGCGCACCTGGATGCGGGTAGCTGCCATGTGAGCGCACCTGGATGCGGGTAGCTGCCATGTGAGCGCACCTGGATGCGGGTAGCTGCCATGTGAGCGCACCTGGATGCGGGTAGCTGCCATGTGAGCGCACCTGGATGCGGGTAGCTGCCATGTGAGCGCACCTGGATGCGGGTAGCTGCCATGTGAGCGCACCTGGATGCGGGTAGCTGCCATGTGAGCGCACCTGGATGCGGGTAGCTGCCATGTGAGCGCACCTGGATGCGGGTAGCAGCCATGTGAGCGCACCTGGATGCGGGTAGCAGCCATGTGAGCGCACCTGGATGCGGGTAGCTGCCATGTGAGCGCACCTGGATGCGGGTAGCAGCCATGTGAGCGCACCTGGATGCGGGTAGCAGCCATGTGAGCGCACCTGGATGCGGGTAGCTGCCATGTGAGCGCACCTGGATGCGGGTAGCTGCCATGTGAGCGCACCTGGATGCGGGTAGCTGCCATGTGAGCGCACCTGGATGCGGGTAGCTGCCATGTGAGCGCACCTGGATGCGGGTAGCAGCCATGTGAGCGCACCTGGATGCGGGTAGCTGCCATGTGAGCGCACCTGGATGCGGGTAGCTGCCATGTGAGCGCACCTGGATGCGGGTAGCTGCCATGTGAGCGCACCTGGATGCGGGTAGCTGCCATGTGAGCGCACCTGGATGCGGGTAGCTGCCATGTGAGCGCACCTGGATGCGGGTAGCAGCCATGTGAGCGCACCTGGATGCGGGTAGCTGCCATGTGAGCGCACCTGGATGCGGGTAGCAGCCATGTGAGCGCACCTGGATGCGGGTAGCTGCCATGTGAGCGCACCTGGATGCGGGTAGCTGCCATGTGAGCGCACCTGGATGCGGGTAGCAGCCATGTGAGCGCACCTGGATGCGGGTAGCTGCCATGTGAGCGCACCTGGATGCGGGTAGCTGCCATGTGAGCGCACCTGGATGCGGGTAGCAGCCATGTGAGCGCACCTGGATGCGGGTAGCTGCCATGTGAGCGCACCTGGATGCGGGTAGCAGCCATGTGAGCGCACCTGGATGCGGGTAGCTGCCATGTGAGCGCACCTGGATGCGGGTAGCTGCCATGTGAGCGCACCTGGATGCGGGTAGCTGCCATGTGAGCGCACCTGGATGCGGGTAGCAGCCATGTGAGCGCACCTGGATGCGGGTAGCTGCCATGTGAGCGCACCTGGATGCGGGTAGCTGCCATGTGAGCGC